TTGACGACATCACCAGCAGGTGGGCGGAGCTGTATGTGTCGTTAAATCGTAAAGAGGGCAAAGTTTAATGTTCCCGTTCAACGTTAATAGCGTAACCAGCGGGAGGGCGTAGCAACGTGTGTGACGTCAACATTACATTATGTCATGATATAATGTAATTTCATTACATTTACATTTAGCAGACGCTTTTATCCAAACCGGCTTCGATGTAACCAGCGGGTGGGTGGGGCTAACTGTGGCGTTAATGATTGACGGGTGGGGCATCATGGGTAATTTAAATGTCCACTTTTCATTTACGGGGCGTAATTTCATGTGCAGTTCGTCACCGTCAAAGGTGAAACGTTAATAACATGGACAGGCTGATGGTGTTTGATGGACTGATGTGTTTATTATTGTAGTTTGGAGTTTGGTTTTTATTGTTTTTGTTATTTGTAAGGTAGAAAAAGTGTTAACTGACTGGTTCTGAGTTGGTTGTCTGGTTTGTGGTAGGTAGAGCAGCTTCACTGATTTGTTGTTGATTAGAAATGATTAAACAGATAAAAACAAATTCATTGTTTTGGGTTTTTTTTTTCAATTCACTGATCCCATCAGCTGACATCAGAGCAGGTGATTTACAGTGAAAACCCTGAGCCAGCAAAAGGGCAAATGAGTAACACCAACCTCCAGCCCCTCAAACATAAATACAGCACAAATACTTTATAGTACAATGTAAACATGCCAACGTAAGAATAACATGTAGAGATAATACACAGACACAGAGAATCATTTGGACAGATTGTCTGCATGACACTGAGAGCTGTGTGTCAGACTCTCTGTGAACAAATGATCGATGACAGAGGGATGTGTGTGTGTGTGTGTGTGTGTTTGAGGTGAGATTGCAACCAAGGGAGTAACAACAGCTGAACCTGTCGATGCCAGTTCTAAAACATAGCTGGATGTAAGGGTTGTTCACGGTCAGGGGGGTTGCAATGTACGCAGCACTTACACACACACACACACACACACACACGTGCACTCACACACACAGCTGCAGTATCACCAAAGACAAACTCAGTGTGTTCATTGTCCAGGAGTGTTAACTAAAGGTACAGTTCATAAATAACAGCTGTGTGATATTTTACAGTGTGTGTGTGTGTGTGTGTGTGTGTGTGTGCACCAACCATGGACCAGCAGATAGTCCTGTGCATGCCTGTGTTCACATTCAGGATTAAGTTCTAGCTGCAGGAAATAAATAGCTGTGGTATCACACAGACCTGATCCAGGTCTTAGTTGAACCTCACCATTGACGTTTCGACTGAACTCCAGGGACAGTGGTGGTGGTGGTCTGTAGACCACGGAGACCTGCTCCTACAGGAGATGACAACACACCATGTAAAATAAAATTAGTTCACAAAGACTTAATGTTTGTGATAAATATTATTACAATAAAAAATAAAAATCTGTTCAGACCAAAGTCCGTAGAGAAAATCAGATATTTTAGCTCTGAATAAAGGATTTTAAATGCTCAGGTCACAAAATAACACATTTGAACTTGATAGTGGCGGCAGCTGAGCTACAACAATTGTGTGCTATAATGTAAACCAGTTTTCTTTTTGAGCCCTGGTACTGGAGAGTGAGGGTTTACACACTGTTGGATGTTGTTGTTTTTCAGAAACTAACATGCCTACACTGTTGTTTTATTGGATGTTTGGAGTCGCTGCAGTGACTCACCAACACTGCTTTCACTTTCAATAAGTCAGATCATGTTGCTTTCACTGGAGTTGAATAAGGTACACATATTGCAATTCAAGTCGGAGGCCCCAGTGTATGTGTGTGTGTGTGTGTGTGTGTGTGTGGGCAGGAATGTGCCTGCTGAAATGAAAAACATAAATTTTCCATTGTTGCATTGGCCGATGATCTGTAAGAACCCAAAGTTTACACTGAGCTGCAGACAAGAGTCCTGCTGGAGGCACAGTGGTACTGTTTTCACCTGTGTTTGCGTGTGTTTGGCAGAAAACGTTTGTTGTGAACAGGAAGCCCCTCCCACTGCAGCTAATAACTTTAACACTTCTTCTTCTATTCCTTCCGTCTTTAGCCTCTCACACAAACGGGACGTGTTCACTTCCTTTCTGTTTGGCCCTCACGTCCCCCGTGGGCAGTATGTTTGTGTGTGCGTCTTATGCAAGCCTGTGTTTCCCTGAGCCACAGTTACAGTCACTTTACTCATTCACTTTACTCATTCACTTTACTCATTCACTTTACTCATTTCCGTATCAACGTCTTATATATTAGCATGACGTGAAATTGTCTTGAACCTAAATTGATGAAATAGATGATAGAATTCTGTATTAAATTATAATAATTTCTAATCATCTTCTAATTTCCAAGCAAAGTATGACATAATATATTACAAAATACTACAAAAATGAAATAAATATATTTTGAATCATATTAAACAGAAACAACGTTTGGCTCAGTTTTAGATTCTTGTAGCTACATTTTATCTGTTTGGCCAATTTTTTTAGCTTTTTTTTCTCCTATTTATTTTCTAACTCTCAGCTATAACTATTCAATATTCCATGAGAGTTTTTATCTTTTTTATTTTACTTCTGACTAAAACCTAAAATGATTTGCCATATAATTACCTGGACCTGCTAATTGGTTAGCAGGTCCGACTGGCAGTTTGTCTTCCGGCCTCTCGTGCACAGAAACAGCTGGTTAGATGAACGGGAATCAGGGACAGAGTTGGTACGTGACTTCCAGACGAACGCTTTTAAAATATTTATAGTGAGAAACGGGAATTCCCTCGGAGTAAGATCTTCCCACACAGACAGCAGCTTCTGTTGGAGGTGGTGACAGGAGGTGTAGTCACGCTCAGAGAGGGATTTGAATAAAAAAGATGAATGAAGTGTGATAGAGGTGATGATGACTCCCCCCTTCACCTCCCCCCCCCCACAACTGATTCACCTCTTCCCCACTTTTTACAGAAAAGAGCAGGAAAAGCAAGAGGAGCAGGATGTTGTCCGAGGCTCACTTCCTGTTTTCTGCTCCTTTTCCAAGGAAGTTCTGTTGATGCAGGTGGAACACCAACTTAACCCTTTCCTTCACCCTCTCCCTCACTCTTTTCTTCTCTGTTAAATTCTGGACTCGTTTTTGTCTAAAATGGTTTATATTTTTACCAACCAGTGAATACCAGAGAAGAAGAATGTGTTGACGAAGGGTGTGAAACATGTTACAGTTATCTAAATATGGTTTTGTTTTAACAAACCACGCCCCTAATAGGGTTGTGGTTAATTACAGAGTCAAAGGTCATGCCCAGGGATACGTGGACTAACGAGGTCTGACGTTTAGAAGATGGCTTGCTTCACCAACGGATCACAGCTCCTTCATGAAAACAAAATAAAACCTCAGTGGCTGCTGTGCCTGAACCCAGGTCTGAACCCCCACACCCCCAAATCTCCTCTCCCTCATCTCCTCACCCCCCTCTCACTGCCCTCCACTCAGCCCAGCTCTTAGAAAAACTCTGTGGCTGCATTTCATTATAAATCATTCTCCAGTTTTTTAGTGGGCCGCTCACCAGAGTTTCCATGACATCATCAGCTGTCAGTCTGTGAAGCTGCTCGCTTATAATCAGAAATTCAAACCAGGGCATGAAGCATGAGCAGCAGCAGTAACAGCAGCAGTAGCAGCAGTAACAGCAGCAGTAACAGCACCAGCAGCAGTAACAGTAACAGCAGCAGGAACAGCAGCAGAAACAGCAGCAGTAACAGCAGCAGGAACAGCAGCAGAAACAGCAGCAGTAACAGCAGCAGCAGTAACAGTAACAGCAGCAGCAACAGCAGCAGTAACAGTAACAGTAACAGCAGCAGTAACAGCACCAGCAGCAGTAACAGTAACAGCAGCAGGAACAGCAGCAGAAACAGCAGCAGTAACAGTAACAGCAGCAGTAACAGTAGCAGCAGCAGTAACAGCAGCAGGAACAGTAACAGCAGCAGTAACAGTAGCAGCAGCAGTAACAGCAGCAGGAACAGTAACAGCAGCAGTAACAGCACCAGCAGCAGTAACAGTAACAGCAGCAGTAACAGCAGCAACAGCAGCAGCAACAGCAGCAGCAGCAGTAACAGCAGCAACAGCAGCAGCAACAGCAGCAGTAACAGCAGCAGCAGTAACAGCAGCAGTAACAGTTGTTGTCTCCATCACTAACTTCATTTACTTTTGTTTTTCCAACCCATAGTTCAGCTTGACCTCAGTGGCACAAAGCAACCACAGGGGGCAGCAGTGGACCACCATTTCCCTGAGTTTCTCTAATGACTTTGGTCTAAGAAAGAACATGTTCTCATAATGACGTTGGTCAAACCTTCAGGTTTGTCTAATTCACGTGTGAGAGGCTGTGAACTGGAAACACACACACACTCACACAGACCTTTGTTGTCATGTTTTATATAATTAAACTTCTTCAACTGCAGGATGTGAGTTGACCTTTGACCCTGGAGCCTGATCCGTTCAGTCAGTCCAGAGGAAGGAAGACGGTGTGTTGTCCAGCAGAGGGCTAAAAATACCACACTTTAAAGTGGGAGTCCAAGAATCTGCTCTGCGGGCGGAGGGATATGAGTCAAAACACAGAGCAGGTGGTGTGAATCTGTACGTGTGTGTGTGTGTGTGTGTGTGTATGTGTCTGACAGGTAGCTGTAGCCGTCACACACTCGTCCAATCAGGTGTCAGAAAAGCCTTTCGTGTTCTTCTCCTTCTGTTACCGTTTTTGAACATGTCACACAGAGGAAGTTCACAGAGTCCACTGCTGCACTGACTGACAGCTGTGTGGCCTCTAGGGGCAGCACTCACAACACAAACACATCCTGGCTTTGGTGGAGAAAATCACACAAAGGCCAAAATATTGTTATTATTAGTTTGCTTTAAAACAAAAACATTTGATTAAATCATTTTTACAATTCTCAGGTAACTGTATCAATATATTTTTCTGAATTCTAATTTTCACAGACAGATAGGAGCAGGAGCCTGTCTTGTAAAAATACGCAATTTTCCTTTATTGAATTTCCATCATTACAGTTGCACACAGTCAGATGAAGTGTCTGTAGAAAGGTGTTGATTTGAGCTGGAAACAACAGTCGTCAGTCTTTTATAGCACAGGATTCAGTGATGACTTAATGAACTGAGAACTTCTCTTCCTGTAGGGGGCGATGGGAGCTTTAGCCACTCTAACCCTTAGTCCCTAAACCTAGTGGAGAGTACAGACCGAGTCACTCCCATGTACTTTAGCATCTTCAGCTACAACACATGCGCCACCAACACTAAAATAAATCACATGCGTTTCTCGTCCGTTCCAAACTTGTCACATTCTTTAGCAACAACAACAAAATTCCAAATGACATGGAAAATAAAGAAAAAATGTGACTTTTTATTTTTACCATAAGGTGGAAGTCATGAAGGATGAAGTACTGATTCATCCACTTCAACAAATAGACCGTGTTAGCTGGGCTGTAGCTAAATGTTATTGCTAAAGTTTTGAACAAAGGGCAAAGGACAAAAAAATTAGCATTAACCACACATTGACACAACAACAGGAAAATAATTATTTGTAATTGGTTAACAGCTACGATGCTAACGATGCTAACTGATGTTTTTCCCGTTTACATTTAATTTAGTTCTTTTTCTTTTGGACATTAGCCTAAAAGCTTAGAAACCTAGCTAATTGGACGCTAAGTTCACAGAACATGCTGCTAGCTTTGCATGGGCTAAATGGGCAAGTTATCAAACCTAGCTGCAAAGCTAACTTTAGCCAGCTCAATTTCTTATCCCCCCCACTCCAGCCCACCAATGAAAAATGAAAACAATGTTTTTTTCCTCCTTGTGGAACCAAAACTAAAATAAAGGTGAAGCAGTGAAACAGGTTCTTCATTGGAACACACAACGTTCTGTTAAGAACGAGTGTCAAACTCTGCTAACGCTATGACAGGAAGTGAACTTTGATGAGAGGCACCAGAAAGTCTGAGAGTTACAGTTTAAAGCTCTTCACGAAAGAAAGACCAGGAGAAAAACAGAACACAACAAACACAACAATGTGACATCGCTGACAACGCCCCCTTCTGGCAGACAGCAGTTTGAATAAATTAGAGAAACTGCAGTAAATACATGTGAAAACAATGTAAATTAAACATCAGTCACATTAATATTAATTCAATTCATATTTCTGTTAAATCCAGTTACAGACCTGGACTGAGGTCGGCTCAGAAACACACTCACACACACACACACACACACTGAGCAGGATGTCAACGTGTGTGTGTGTGTGTGTGTGTGTTAGAAGGATAAATAAAGTTAACTTACTTTAAAGTTCCAGGTTCTAACCTGTTGAAATCCTCAGGACAGCTGAGGTTCTGAGTCCATGTTCTGATGATGACGTTCTTCTGGAGATCAGGTGAACGTCTGGAGCTCCACTCAGTTTGGACACAACCCTAGTCCTTGTTTGTACCAACAACGTTAACAGACATGTCGGACTCATTCACTCATCTTCTACAGTTAACGTACACAGAGCATTCACACTCACATTCACACCTCTGGTCAGTTCAGAGTGAACATGAACCTGATCTCCAACCTGCATGTTTTTGGACTGTGGTAGAACCTGGAGAACCTCACACACACACAGGGAGAACAGGAGAACTCCAAACAGAAAAACCAGCAGGTCACAGAAGGGGATTGAACCAGTGACCTTCTTGTTGTAAGGCAAGAGGACTAACCAGCAGTGTGACAGATAAAGGTGGACAGATAAAGGTTTGTTTGAAGTTGTTGTTAAGGTGACCGTGAACATTAGCAGGTCAGGTAACAGGTAATGACTTAAAGGGATTTGATTGGACCATCTGCATTGAACTTGAACATGAAATTGAACATGGACTTCTACCACTGACCCACAATGCAGTTTGGCAACAGAGGACAGTTCCATTCAGGCAGTCAGTCACCGACTCATCCACGCACACACGACATTAAGGTTATACATAGAGAGAGAACATCAGAACGCCACGACGTTCCTCTTTTTCCAGAGAACCTCTCGTCTTAGAGTTCTCTGGAAAAAGAAAAATATGTTCGAGGAAAAGGCAAAGTCAGAACTGACATCTGACATCACTTCCTGTTGTCCAGTTCACAGGTGACTTAGCTCCTCTTCCTGGGGAAAGAAGTAGTCAGAGAGACTGTGAGGTGGGCGGAGCCTACAGGTTTCCTCTTTATCAAACAGGTGCTCCTCTTCCTCCTCCTCCTCCTCCTCCTCCTCCGCTCCACCTCAGATTCTCCTCTTCCTCAGTCGCCCAGGATGACTTTGACGAAACTCGCCACGTCTGTTTCTTTGGCCTCATGGGAGGTGAAGAAGGGGTGTTGCTGTTGGAGGGTGGAGGAGAAGAGGTGAAGCAGAGGAGGAGAGGACTTGCTGCACATTTTCTCATTTTGAAGATATGAAAACATATTGACATTCTCTTCATGTTATTGACGTGTGTTTTCTGATTCAAATTCTTATTTCTGTTTTTTTTTTTCTTCCTTTTCCAACACAGGTTAAGATTTTAATCTTAATCATAGTTTGTAATAAACGACCAATCGCAGGCTGGTTCACGTAATCACGTCAACTAGAGATAATATTGTCGGTCTAACGTCGCCCTCTGGTGTTTGAGGAGTAGCACTACAGACGCTCACCATTAGCTCTGCGTACGTCGGCCGCTCCTTGGAAAATTTCTTCAAACTGAAATAAAAACAAACAAAAAAAAACAATACAATGAAAACAAACGTTGTTAACCCAGCGGTGTGAGAGAAAAGTTTGGCTGTGACGTCACACAATCAAGTACCACTGAGAGGTGAAGTCCACGAACTCTGCAGAGAACTGATCAGAAGCTGAGGTGAAGGTTCCTCCACCACCTGCTTCAGCTGCTGGAACGGTGTTCCCCAGGAGTCGTAGGGAAAACGGAGGATGGCCAACTCAATCTGAAGGGGGGATTAAATAATAAAGAACTAAATACAAAAATAAAAATGACATACAATAACCTAAATAAAAATAACAAAAAAAACTCCCAAAATGACACATACTTTAAATAAAAATTACTTCAAATATAAAATGAATGCAATCAGATTATTCAACAAAGGCAGCGTGAAGTCATGGTACCATTGTGATTCCTAAACTCCAGATGTCAGACTTCACATTGTAGCCTTTCTGGTTGGTCTCAGGGTTGATTCTCTCTGGCTGCAGGAAAAACACATGACATAACATTAAACACACTTATTACAAGTAATATATCACAACACACAAATATAGATATTTACAGAGCTAAAATCACTGATTTTCTCCATGGACTCTGGTGTGACAGAGTGAACCAGCTGACTTCCTACTTACTGCCATGTACGGTTTACAGCCAGCGTCCATGGTTTTGGCCACGGAGTCGACCAAATACCCACTGATGCCAAAGTCACACATCTTTACTTGCCCCTGGGTGTTGATGAGGACATTAGAAGGTTTCACATCTGCAGAGAACACATACACACCGATGTCAGTGCATGTGTTTTAAGACAGGTGTCGCCATTTACTCTCTCTCTCCTTTTTGACCTAAAACCATTATTACGATGGTCATCACCGTGATGGTTATTATCACTGTTATTATTGTCATGGTTATTGTCACTGTTGGTTATTATCACTGTTATTATTGTCATTCTGTGGTACATGGTACGAGACCATGTGCAGACCCTGGTGGTCCTCACCTCTGTGGATGACCTGCAGGTGACTGTGCAGATGCTCCAGAGCTTTGACAACCTGTGATGAAGGACAGGAGTGAGTCAGATGTTCCTGCTGTGTTTGACTGGAACTCATTCCTGGTTCAGTTTTTATTTTTTGGTTGAAAACTCACACAGACGGTGATTTTGCCCAGGATCTCCTCAGGGATGGTCATTCCCTTCTCAATCACCTGTTTGTAGAACTTGTCCAGAGACGTGTCCATCAGCTCCATGCAGATCCAGACGTCACCCTGGTGATGAGGTCACAGGGGTCACAGGGGTCACATGACTCACGACAGACAGAAGGTGACAGTGAAGTGCAGGGTTGGAGTCTGGTTACCTCTCTGAACAGAGCTCCGTAGAAGGTGACGGTGTAGAAACAGTCCACCGTCCTCATGGAGATGTCCAGGTCCATCAGAAGCCTCTTCTGCTCCTGGGAGTTCACCGTGGCCCGGATCCTCTGGGACCAGACCAGGACACAAACACAGATTCAATCACTTGTGAAAAATGTGGAAGAGTGCTGTGGAACGTCTGACTGACTCCACCCACCTTCACCGCCATGATCAGACTACTGGGCACGTGCCTCATCTTGTCCACCACACCGTAGGCTCCTCGGCCCAGCTCACAGATCTGCTCCAAGTCATCGGCCTTCACCTCAAAGTTCTGCCCCACCAACAGTGCAAGGAGAACATGGAAAAAGCAAACAGAGGAAACACAGGTGACTACAGAGGCTGTTTACAGACAATCAGACCAAACTCTGGAGCAGAAGGTGGACAGCAATGGTCCAAGAAATCACCTTCTCTCCGATGGTGACGCATGCTTTAGAATCCAAATCTCTGGGAGGTCTGAAATAGAAACATTTAATATTTAAGATTTAATATTAGTTCACACACCAAACCTTATTGAGAAAATCAGTGATTTTAGCTCAGACCAAACCTCATGAACAAAATCAGTGATTCTATCTGACACAGACTCAGCAGCTGTTGATCCACTGTCCTTCACTCGTTAAAATGTGTTATTTTGTGACTTCACTGTTTGAAATCCTGTTCAGATTTACCTGAATGACACAAACTGACCACAGGAGGCAGCATTGGACCAACAGCACACCAACAATGTCTTAGTGAGCTGTACTGTATACACTGATTTGTTCTATGCACTGATGCAGAAAGGTATGTTTACAGTTAACATCATAAATATAATAATTATCTTTATAACAGCCAGTGAAGATGAAGAAGATGAAGAGTTTGAAGATCTTACGCTGCAGCAGGAGGAGGCTGCTCAAACACCTCCTTGGGAATCTTCAGCACCGGCTTCTTCTTACCTAAGAACACACACAAGTACACACATCAGATCACACACACACAAGCACACACATCAGATCACACACACACACACACAAGTACACACATCAGATCACACACACACACACAAGTACACCTGTCAAACTTTTACAGAAAGTGGGTCCAGTCTCCTCAGAACCAGACTCTGGTTCCTACAAGATCCACTGAGCACCAGCGTGGTTTGTGGTCTGAAGGATCATCTGGTCTGCTTTAAATTATTTATTTCCTGTGAACTGATGATCTGATGAGTTCTTCATTTTAGTTCCAAAATTTCAGATGGAACTGAGAACCCAGAGAGCTGAGTCCAGAGGGAGAACTAGGAAGACCTGATCCTCCCAGAAACTGGACCCATACAATGGATGGACAGTGACCCACTTCACATTCTGAGGAGAAACAATGGAAACAACAGTCCAGGTTTTCCAACCCCGCCCTCTGGTCCTGCACCACGTCTGGTGTCACTGATAGGAAACACCAGGAGGGAGGAGGAGGAGGGGTGGGGCAGTGGGCACAGAGACTGCTGCATGAGGGGGGAACCACGTGGTGGTCACCCACACATCCTCTCAGGCTGGAATCCCAACAATCCCGAGTGTTCCTGAATGGAATGCCACAGAGCTGTAGGAAGACGGGCCAATCAGAGACAGACGACCAGGGCCAAAGACAGAGGACCAGGGCCAAAGACAGAGGACCAGGGTCAAAGACAGAGGACCAGGGCCAAAGACAGAGGACCAGGGCCAAAGACAGAGGACCAGGGCCAAAGACAGAGGACCAGGGCCAAAGACAGAGGACCAGGGCAGCTGGTGTTTCTCCAGGAACGCTCCTTGAACAGCTCCTGCGTACAGACCTTACGTGAGAAAACCCTAAGGTCCTTCAAAGTCTGAAGTGACGGATCCTTTTCCAGGTGATTCCAGGTCTACCTCTAGGGTGCAGACATTCATTCTTCTGAACATTCTAGGAATTCTTTCACAGTTAGCAGACAACCCTCTGATCTTTAACGCCACACTTTTGTCCACGCTGGAATTCTGGGAATATCTAAACAACGTGCAGACCTGCGGTGATCAATCTTGGGTGGAGTTTTTGCAGATGGACAAAGAATTATGGGTAACTTAAAAATACCACCACATGCATCATGGGAAATTCTCTCTCCTTCACACTGGAACCACTGGAACAACCATGAACTTAACTCTTTGCAGACACCTTCTCTGACTATGAGAAACATTCCTCAAATACCTTCAACAGAGAACGTACAAGAACGCCTGTTGTGTATTCGCAGCACAGCTAAAGAACCCACAATCCTCTGGGAACGTTGTCAACAACACACACATGAACTTCCCAGACCAGGATCTTCTCTCCGGTCTGGTCTTTGGAGGATCTACCAGGACAGGATCCTGGACTCTGACCTCAGAAGCAGGAAGTCCCAGGGGGAGCAGGTCAGGTGAGGTGATGTGAGGTGAAGCTAAGTGGGTTTGAAAATAGCCCCCAGCGCTAACTGTCGCCCTGCGACCGCTCTGGCAGTCGGTGCGACACTCTACACTCCGCTCCACTGCAGCTGTCGGAATCTGTTCTTTTATAGGAATCATGTTGTCAGCAGCAGCAGCACTTCCTGTTGACTTCCTCAAAGGGAGTGTTGGGGGGGTTCTGGCTTGCGGCTGTGGAGGAGAGTGATGTTCATTGATGAGAGTCCAGAACATTGAGATGGACTGAAGGTCCACAGACACAGGACAGCTGATAACTGTGGACCAATCTGACCTGTCATGGCTGCCTGGATCGAAAATATTGATCACAGAAGATTGAGATGTTTTCAAAACCAGAGGTGATCAACACAGGGTCCATGGCCCCTAGAGGGTCCGTAGAGGTACTGCAGTGGGTTGGTGGAGGTTTCGCAGCTACAAATTCCAACTGTCTGTGGTGGTCTAGATAGAATTTGACCCTCTAACCAAGGCGTGAGCAAACTTTTTGACTCTTGGGTCCTAAAATCTGACAGCAGCTGCTGTGGAACGCAGACATCGCTGCTGATATTAGTCACTCGGAAGTACCACACCTTTGCAAAGAAGGAGACTCCCCCTGCTGGTGGATTTTGGAGTACGCATGACATGCGGGTATCTTAACTTAAATTGACCCGTACGTACTGTACATGTTTGTTTTGCATTTCCCTGTATGTATGTGTTGCATAATGTCTTTTCATTTATTTATATACTGTTCTATATACTGCCATATACTATAGAACTGAAACTGAATCACTGACTGTCATTCTCCACCACCTCTTCTGGTCCCTGTTCAGACTCTACTCCAGGGTCTATGTGGGTGGGTGACCATGACTGGACACATTGGTCATGTGATGCCATCATCATTGTGCAATCAGTGGACATAATGACATTGACAATGTTCAAGGATGATGTAATATCTGTGACATCTACAATCACCTGCCACCTGTTCAAACGTCTACTGTCTTCAGTCTCAGGGACGTCAGTGATGTCTCAGATTCCTCTGTCCTGTCCTCAGGTCAAAGGTGAAATCTCTTCAGTCTTATTGATCTGTCATTGACTGAAGTTGACTAGAACCTGATCAACTCTGGGACTAGTTCATCCAGAACCAGCTGTTGATCACAGGTTCTCCTCAGAGCTCCCTGTAGACGTGGAGTGTATTAAACCCTGTTGAAGCTCAGCTTACTGCTAGAGTTTTAGAGACAGACGGGTTCCTTCTACTGGAACCGTGTCAGTTTAACTGTTTCTGTGGGTTTTTAAAAAAATCTAGCATTAGCAGCTAAGCCTCTACTCTGTGTTTACTCTGTTCTGCTTCTTCTTTGGCTTCAAATGTGTAATTTGAGATGCAATACTGCCACCTAAAGGCTATGTTTTCTCCTCTACGACTCCAGGTGGAGAAAACAAATGAACCCCACTCAATGGTTCGACCACAGGCCCGGTTCTCCTCGACCCTGCTCTGTTTTCAAAACTCCCTTCATGGCTCTAAGGTTCTCCTGCAGAAATCAATGTAAGTCAACACAGTCCCGTGCGCGTCCGCGCGTGTGCACGTCAAAAGAGGAAGATGTGAAACAGGAAATGCATTGACCATGCATTAGGAGAGGGAGGGAAAACATGCAGGTTATTCAAGAGGGGAAAAGTGCACGGTGTTTGCGCTGCTGCAGTTGCGCCACCCGTGCACGCCGCTGCACACGCACTCGCACATGCACACGCCCTGCAGCCGTGATTGCAACAGTGTTGTTATTGTGCATGTTTCCTGCACTTTTCCTACCTCCCCGTGGCTGAGACATTTCCCTCTGCAGCTGCTGCAGCTCTGGTGGCGCTGCTGAAGGTGGTGGTGGGTGGAGGAGGTGCACAAAGATTTTCCTCCTCCTCCTCCGGGCTCTTCCTCCTCAGCTGCAACTACAGCAGCTCCTTCTCCTTCCTCTTCTCCTCTGCAGCTCAGATTCCTCGAATCTTCGTGCACTCGCAGCCTCCCTCTCCCCTCTCGCTCTCTCTCTCTCTCTCTCTCTCACTCTCATGGTGGTTGCGCAGACGGACTGCTGCACCAGGGCAGCTCCAGCTCAGGGGGCGCACACCGGAAACACGGAGGTGTTTTCTGCACAAATGCACGGAGCTGTTGGCCTCCTCCTGTAACTACTGCTCCTGGTCCCCCGCCTCCTGCTCTGCGTGCAGCAGCAGTTACATAGTGAAGGGCCCAGGCTGCTGCTGCTGCTGCTGCTTGAACTTGGATCAGAACGTTCTTCCTGCTCCGGGGGCAAAGGACGCTGGGAAATGTAGTTCTTTATGCACAAACGCGCTTTCAGTTTAATATGTAACACCGAGGTCAAAAATGTAATATAATTATTTAAAGATTATAAGCATGAAAATATAATGTGTGAAAATGCGCTTTTCATGATATATTATAATATATTGTATCATACAATATAATTGTTAATACTACTACTACTAATCCATTAGGAAAAGATTTTATTGGAACAACACACTTTTAACAGGTCAAGACACGTCAAGAACTGCAGCGACACCTGTGTGTGTGTTCTATCATTACAGTTTACTGTGATGGGTGAAAAAGCTACAATTATTAGAACAAATATAATAATTAAAAAACATTACATGACCAGAAAACGGAAAGTCACATAAAATAAGTAAACGCGCACAAGTGACCAGTGGGTGGCGCTATTAACAAAACACCAGGAGGAAAATGGTTGACATTAACAAAGCCTGATTTCATGAAACTTATACAAAAATGTCTAGTAGTATTTTTAAACAGTACTCTGTACTTCCCTGAACGGAACTATTTTCAGTGGTGTATAAGTACAAGTGGTGATGTGGTCAGACGTGAAGGCGTCGGTAGATGTTTTCAGTTCTTGTCAGTGATGAGTGTGTGGTACATTGGTTTTACAACAACATGGAGGTAGAGGGAGCCATTGAGCAAGTATTCAGAAGAGTGCTGGTTCAAGTCCGCCTCAGTCAGGAAGTCCACGTTCTCCTCCGAGCTCTGGTGAAAGTCGTAGACGTGTTTCACCACCAGCTTCCTCTGCTGCCTGGACATCACCAGCACCGTCTTCTGAAAGGTCACTCCAGCAGAGTCGGTGCTGGACGTGGCCGGGGTGACGATGATACGAGGTCGCCCACCCTCCTGCCCACTGGGCTGCATGGCCCCTACCTCCATGTACGTTGGCTTCATGCTGATTGGTTGCCAGCGTGGAGAGAACAAGGCGTTCCATGACACCCTCTTATTGCTGTGGTAGCTGCTGGGACCCAGCTGAGTCTGGAAGCTGGTGCTGCGATCGTCTCGGCTCGGACTGCTGATGGTCCAAGGTGAACCCCACATCCTGGACAGGTAGTTCCTGGGCACAAAGAGGCTGCAGTTGACGTCAAAGTACTTGGCCATGAGCAGCGGTGAGGTGGAGTGAAACTGGTAGGACAAGTAGAGCAGGTCTCGCACTGACTCCTGGTACCGGGTCAGCACCGGAGACTGGGTCTGCAGTCGGAACAGCTCCTGAGGAGGCATCATGGCGTATCGCACAGCCCTTAGAGCGTTCTCCACCATCAGACCGTCCGGATCATTCTGAATGATCCACGCCTCCAGACCCACAAAAAGTTCCATCTCACTCTGGACAACCAGGTCTGAACGGGGCAGCAGAGACATGAGCAGCTGACTGCTCATGGTGGACCACTCCCCACTCAGCAGAACCTCAGTCATGTTCCAGGCCAGGTGCTGAAGACAGCTGTCCCTCAGGGTCCTGTCCCCGGCCTGCACGGCGTACTCGTACCAGCCCACAACATGTCCAGACGGTGAGTCTCGGGCCAGATTCAGGATCATGTACTGGGTGACACCCTGCTGCAGACTCAGTACCTGGTACTTGGAGGCCAGCCTGTGAAGAGGAACGGCCTGGTCCAGACTCAGAGGAACATGTCCACAGTACAGGTACCTGCACACAGAGAACATGGTGTTGGAGAACTCTGGATGCCACTTCCTGTCCTGGAGCTTCAGGACTGTCAGGATTACAGAGGCCCACGGAGGGTTTAGTAATGACAGTAATCAGTACAGCTTCAGCCCACAGGGGGGCGCCAAAGCCCTTAATAGTGGAGATTTATGCATCTTTGTCTTCATACGTGTGTGCAACAATTAAAACAATTCAATGAAATGAAAGGACATCAATCATAGAAAAGGTCAAAAGGTCAGGTGTGAGTTCAACTCCCAGTCAGGCCACAAGACAAGTCCAGCTTCACTTTACTTTACTTGAATTGAATTTAAGGGCATGCAGCAAAGGCCGTCTTCTCACACACTAACAGACTGCCCACAACTACAGCTCCGTCTGTCTCCTCACCTGATGAACCCGTGGAACACGGCGGCACAGTCAGCGGACTCCTTCAGGTGCAGCGTGCTGTCGTTGCGTCTCAGCAGCATCTCCTGGAACACAGAACTCTGCAGACTCAACAGCAGGGAGTGAGTCTGGATTGTCCTCACCTCGTCAGTACCAGGTGTCTCCACCCGCAGGGTCACATCACTGCCGTTTCCCTGGAGCAGCAGGGTCTCCAGATGTTGGACCAAGACAAGGGAGTGTCTGATGGTGTCTACATCCACACCACCATCCACAGCTCTATCCTGGGAACCATCAACCTTCAGAGAACCTGCTGGAGAACAGAGCTGTAGAGCCTGAGCTTGAATAGACAATTGGTTTGACATAAACAGCCAGTAAAGAACAAGATTTTCTCTATGGACTTTGGTCTGAGCTAAAATCACTGATTTTCTCTATGGACTTTGGTCTGAGCTAAAAATCACTGATTTTCTCTATGGACTTTGGTCTGAACTAAAAATCACTGATTTTCTCTATGGACTTTGGTCTGAACTAAAAATCACTGATTTTCTCTATGGACTTTGGTCTGAGCTAAAATCACTGATTTTCTCTATGGACTTTGGTCTGAGCTAAAATCACTGATTTTCGCTAAAATCACTGATTTTCTCTATGGACTTTGGTCTGAGCTAAAATCACTGATTTTCTCTATGGACTTTGGTCTGAGCTAAAATCACTGATTTTCTCTATGGACTTTGGTCTGAGCTAAAATCACTGATTTTCTCTATGGGGTTTGGTGCAGTGATGTTCGTGATGGCCGCGTGTCGATACTTGTCAGTTTGCTCCAGGCCACACACTGTGGGTCAGTGAGGACAGAATCCAGGTCATTGATTGGTCTGGTTGATCCAAGGTTGTAGGTCCTGTTCACAATTGTTGTTGTTTGTTTTTTTACATCTTTTTCCTTAATATTTTTTATCTGACTTTATTTACCTCTGACTTTGATTTACCCCTTTGCCCGTGTTTTTTAGTTTTTGTTTTTTAAACATTTCCTGTTAACATTTCACAACTAATGTAAACTCATGTGAATTGTGAAATAATTTCACCAAAACAAACTAATTATTATTAAATGTTAGCTCATTGTATACCCAAATATTTAATGTAACCTGTAATTAGCTAAAACAAATCAATTCTACTTTTAACAAACATTTTAACAGCTATATAACCAAATCATCCTGACCACTATCAAACAGGTGAAGCAGAAGAAATCTTCAGTCAGACCTCAGTTCTTCAGACACAGACCTGCAGCACATTAGCATCACCCTACCTGTGAGCAGCAGCAGCAGCAGCAGATGGTGGTGGTGGTGGTGACCCTGTCGTCTCTCCATCTCTCCTCCATCTGGATCTTTAGCTTCAGTCTGGACTAGGACGAGCGGTGAAAGAGGGAGGGGCAGAGGGTGGGGTGTGGGGGGTTAGGGGTAAGGGGAGGAGAAGCAGAACTTGGGGAATAATGACTAACAATGAAAAGTTAATCATTACGTTTCGATGGTAAAACATAACGACAGCTCACCTAAATTAGCCCAAAGTCGCTAAAGTTAGCCCAAGAAACACGACTTGGAAAGTTAATTAAAGTTAAACCACACGTGTCTAGTGACAATAGGCAACAAATAATAATAATAATAAAGTACTTTATATTCCTAACAGTTTGCCCAACATTAGCTTGAGCCTTAGCAACAATGAGTAAAATGAGTGTAGAGATTTAAAGATAAAGAGTTCGAAACATTCAACGGAAGTTTGATACAATGTTGAATTTAAAGTAAAATGAGAAATAAAGTGAATGAAACCAACTCAAACTCACACGTAAAATAAGTCACCGTTCCACATCCGCCGAGACAATTCACACGGATGACTTCCATGTTTTAGTCACTTTTGAACACTAGAGGGCAGCTTTGTCTCACGCTCAGCAGGTGAAAGCCGGTATTAAAAAACAAAAACGTTTTTAACGTTCATCCTGACAATGTGGCCTGGTTTGTTAGCTCTTTGTTAAAGATCTGAAACAGTTCTGAAGGTGGATATCAGGTTGACACCTGGAACTAACCAGGAGTTCCCAATAAAATGGCAAAATGTAGACGTTCCTGTATTAAATGGAAACAGGTAAAAGAAACACATCATACTTGATCAGGTTCAGTTTAACTTTATATCACTGAAATGTTGACGTGAATCATTTACATAAATACACATTTGACTTTTTGTACAAAAACAAAAGGCCACTGGATCGGGAACCTCAGGCCGACGTGTCGAAGAGCTTTTCAATCATCTCCTCCACGTCTTCAGGTCGATATTTGTGATACTTCTCTGGGTTTTTAGTGAAGGAGACGTTTGCACAGCTGAGAGATTAAATTAAAAAAAAAATACATCAGTGACAGGAGAAAAGGAAATGTCACCACACAGAAAAGCAACAGGCAGAAAGGTGGCTACAGGGTCACTGACAGTTAGCCATATTGTGGTCGAAGGTTAGCAAAGAAAATACATAAACAGTTTACTTAAAGAAAGATTGTAAGTCTAGATAAAATCATTTTCACGTGTGTTGGTGCAGTTGTTGTTGGTGTGCGGCTGTAGCGTCTCACCGGTGCAGGAAGTAGGTGTAGGCCTGTGACACCACCTTCTTCTGAGCCTGACGAATGAAATCTCTCTGCTCCTTGTCAGGGACAGCCCAAACTTTCTGAGTCTTGCACACTTCCTCCAGACCTTCATTAAAGCCCTGTAGAGGGGGAGGCAGACACACATGCACACACACGCTGTTAGACTCTGCTGCTGCTGAAAGAAGATTTCCCTTTTTTCTGAGCCTCACCTTGAATTTGTCTTTTATCACCTGTCGTTCTTTGTCCTTTAGCTAAAAAACAAAACAGACAAGTGTTGACTCAGGAGTTTGTGTGAAAGCCGTGGATTTTATTTTGAAGGTTTTTTAAGCTTTGACCTTCATTGGCTCGTTTTGGGACACTTCACTGCTAACTGCTAACTTTTAGACAGATTTTGTTGTTTATTCTTCGTGACCTTTGACATACCACGGCCCTGACACTAAAACTGGGCCCTGACTCTGACCCTACCACCTTCTGACCTTGGATCCAGGCTGAAACACCGGCATGTTCCGGTCTGTCAGGTGCTCCAGGACCTTCAGCCAGCTGGGATTAGAACAGATTATTAAACTAGAGCACAGAGACACACAGGTTCTGAACAGGGTCTTGGTTTTATCTGGTACCTGCGCTGGTACATCTGGATCTGCTGCTCAATCAGTTCTCTGTAGGAACTTTCTGCTTTCTTCTGGGTCACTGTCACCAACTGGATTAACTCTGACCTGCAGACCAACGGGATTAGGATTTAGCCACATCTAGAAGATTTGTAGTTGTCTTGACTGTAGTGATGGTGTCTGACTGTAGTCGGGGTGGTGGTGGTGACTGTAGTGATGGTGCCTGACTGTAGTCGTGGTGGTGACTGTACTGATGGTGTCTGACTGTAGTCGGGGTGGTGGTGGTGACTGTAGTGATGGTGTCTGGCTGTTGTCGTTGTGGTGACTGTAGTGATGGTGCCTGACTGTAGTCGTGGTGGTGACTGTAGGGATGGTGTCTGACTGTAGTCGTGGGGGTGACTGTAGTGATGGTGTCTGACTGTTGTCGTTGTGGTGACTGTAGTGATGGTGTCTGCCTGTAGTCGTGGTGGTGTTGGTGACTGTAGTGCTGGTGTCTGACTGTTGTCGTTGTTGTGACTGTAGTGATGGTGTCTGACTGTGGTCGTGGTGGTGACTGTACTGATGGTGTCTGACTGTAGTGGTGGGGGGGGTGGTGGCTGTAGTGGTGGGGTCTGGCTGTAGTCGTTGTGGTGGTGGGGACTGTTCTGGTGGTGTCTGACTGTAGTCGTGGTGGGGGTGGTGACTGTAGTGATGGTGTCTGACTGTTGTCGTTGTGGTGACTGTAGTGATGGTGTCTGGCTGTAGTCGTGGTGGTAACTGTACTGATGGGGTCTGACTGTAGTGGTGGGGGGGGTGGTGGCTGTAGTGGTGGGGTCTGGCTGTAGTCGTTGTGGTGGTGGGGACTGTTCTGGTGGTGTCTGACTGTAGTCGTGGTGGTAATTGTACTGATGGTGTCTGACTGTAGTCGGGGTGGTGGTGGTGACTGTAGTGATGGTGCCTGACTGTAGTCGTGGGGGGGTTGGTGACTGTAGTGATGGTGTCTGGCTGTAGTCGTGGTGGTGGCTGTGCTGATGGTGCCTGACTGTAGTCGTGGTGGTGATGGTGACTGTAGTGATGGTGTCTGCCTGTAGTCGTGGTGGTGTTGGTGACTGTAGTGATGGTGTCTGACTGTAGTCGTGGTGGTGTTGGTGACCTACTTCTCCAGTGACTTGAGGATGTAGTTGTAGTTGTTGTGGAGGAAAATGGCACTGAGAGCAGAATCCTCATAGACCTTGGATTTACTAAGTAGATTGAGCTGAAGGTTCCCTAGAACTTTACCTGTGAGAAGAGCCAACAACAACAACAACAACAACAACATGAGTGACAGCTGTTACCAACAACACCAGTGTACTGATGAATCTGAGGAGAACAGGAAAGTCCTACATATGTAGGAGCTGAGGAGTCTTTTGTTGAAGTCAGAGGTGTAGCTGGACGCTGAGCTGCTCTCTGAAACACAAACACAAACATGTTAGCATGCAGGCTAACACTAAGAACCATGTTCCTCTGAGGGTTGAAGGGTGTCAACACAGACATCAGAACTCATTCGGCTCATAAATATAAACAGCTACATTTGATGAGGTCGGGGGCCTGGTTCTTACCTCGAGGGTCTAAAGGAATATTGTAAGTGTCGCCCAGAACTAAGGTGGGCCGAGGCAGAAGAAGAAGAAGAAGGAGGAGAAACAGAGAAGCAAAGAGAAGCACAAAGGTTAGAGAAGATGTTAGTGCAGAGAAAAGCCAACAGTCATCAGCCATGCAGCCAGAAGACAGAGGGGGCGGAGCCTGAACAACCAGGAAGTACAGGAAAGATGCTGTTAACAACAGGAAGCAGGAGAAAAGTGAGTGGAACCTTACCAAACACTAACAACAGCCCCTCCATAATTAATCAGTAATAAAATCAACATTAAAAGATCTTTACTGGTGACTTGACTAGTATCTGTTTGTACTTACAGTCACATTTGCTCATATTACTTTTCATTTTGCAGTATTTGTGTGTATTTGCTGTATCAGCTTCACTATGAATTAGCTTAGCATCAGCATCACCGCTGAACCGGAATTTAATAATAACATCAAAGTGATGGTGACACGACGATGAAGCTGCACCTGTGTACAGGAACCAAACAGTACCAACTGAACGGTGGGCCAGTACCAGGGTCTGATCCTGAGCTAAAGGCTAACTAGCCATGATCATCAGTCAAATACCTTGGGAGGCCAACATGGCTCCTGCCGTCTCATGGAAGTCCAGCAGCTGCTGCAGGAACAGGATGGCCTGCAGGGGGAGACAAAGGCAGAGGTCAGAGTGACTGCTGTTTCTGGTGGAGCTGTTGAAGGAGATCTTGGCAGATGGTAGCTCACGTTGCTGGTCAGCTCATGGACCGTTCCATCTTTAGGCATGTTGTATTCTTTATCCGGGTTGTTCTGAGGTCACAGACAGAGACGATGGATCGTTGAAGGGGTTTATTGATCAGCGATTGGTCCGAGGTTCTTACCTTGATGCTGTCTGCAAACTCCTCCAGAGCTTTAGCTCCGATGGTCTCCATGGAGGTGATGAGTGTAGGCAGCTTGTTCTTGGTGCTCGCTGCTGTCCCCTGCAGTTAAGAAAAAACACTTCAAAAATGTATTTATTTAATATAAAAACCCTGAGTTGTCTTGTTGTTGTTGTCGGGTGTTCAGGACCAGGACCTGCAGGGTGGTGTCAAACTCAGACTTGTTCAGCTTCAGATGCCTCAGGATGGGAAAGATGGTGAGAACAGCAGAGTAGTCGTGACGCATGATGGCTCGACGAGCCGCCGACACGATGTTGTCTCCCTCCAGCATCAGGTTGTCCAGCGCCTCCTGTGGACAGACATTATGGTCAAGTCTGAGTCCATATTAATTAATTAATTAATATGGACTAAAAAAATTAATTGTTAATTTTTAACAATTACCAGTCACAAATATTCATGTAGATCCCCCTGTTCCAGTGTTAGTGACCTGATGTTAAGATGGAACAGCACCGTGTGTTTACTATGATAACAATTTTACTGCATCTAAATTGTTAAGAAAACTCACTATACCATCAAGCCTAGCGTATCGCAATCTATCGCAATATATCACTGTATCGTGATACGTATCGTATCGACACATTCTTGCCAGTACACAGCGCTAGTTTCAGCACCCGGAGCTGTCCACCAACTTATATTTCGTAGCAGTGAGCCCCACAGCGCCCCCAGTTGTGATTCACTCTCAGTATTGATATAAATTTAAAAAACAGCGTTCTATTGTTTGACTGTAAAATAAATGAAATGATATTGACAGAACTACAGGTTCTGTGCTGTGGAGGACACGTCTGACCTGGATGAGAGAGTCGAAGGTTTTCTTCTGGTGATGTTCAGGGATGATTTCTGTCAGCAGGGCGTATTCACTCTGAGCCAGCTTCACAAAGGCACTGATGCAGTGGATGTAGGAGTCGATCTCGATGTCCAGGACGTCGTCCTTCCCTGAGAGGTGGAGAAGGAGGAGGAGACGAGGAGTCAGTGATGCTGAGAATTTCCTCTCAGGGTCAAATAAAAACCAGGGATGATGTCGTCTGTGAAGTGTGTGTGTATGTGTGTGTGAACGTTAACACCCGTCACCAGTGTGGACTCGGTCACCCAGGAGTTCTGCTCCTCACTCACCTGGTGCTGCCCCGTGCTTCTCTGTCAGGGCGTCAGACAGGTGTTTGACCCGCAGGTCGTAATCGTAACCTAATGGAAGGTGGGAGGCAGGAGGGGGCGGGGCAAACAGGTCCAGTCAGAACCACCCGGGAGGGGGGGGGCGCGGGGGGGTTCTGACTAGACCTGAGGGACAAACCTTAAGTTTTACAGTACAGCTGTACTGACCACCACCAAGCACCAGAGGGCGAAGGAGAAGAGGGGAAACCACCCCCACTAAAGCCAAATGTGAATGCAAGTGTGTGTGCATGTGTGTGTGTGTGTGAGAGAGAAGTAAGAAAAACCCAGGAGGTGACGTTACCTTCCAGTGGGGTGAGGTTAGAACCCCCCTTTTTCCCATCCAGCCCATGCTGTGAGTACTGTTTCAGAAGGTTCTGAGCCTTTCGAATAGTCCCTGGTCCCAGAAGAGAAACCCAGTCCAGAGGAGGAGAAGGAGCAGGAGGAGGAGTGAGGAGGTGAAAGGGGGGTAGGCAGCCAAATCCAAAGCCAGGAAACAGAAGAGAAGAAGAAGAAGAAAGAGCTGGAAAGTGAGTGACAGAAACATACAAGAACCAAATCCAGAGCCACTGAAGAGGACAGGTAAGGAGGCGGAGCCAAATACCACAGACAGAACATGGACCAAAGCTTCTGGTTCTTAAACAGCTGAACATCATTTAACCTAGTTGTGTTTCATGAAGAAGAAGTTTACTGTGTTCAACACCTCAGTTCAAATATGTTACATCGCAGATTTAGTAACCAATCAGTGGTGCTGACCGTTTTTACCCAGAAGACTTTGTCCGTTGTGTAAACAGTCTGAGCCGCAGCACCAGTACTAAAGGACAGACGCTGGAACACATCACTAACCAGGTGAGAGTCAGTTTAACACTTTAAACAGTTTCACTATCAACAGCAGAACAAACACATCGTGTTCATTCCATCTGGACTTCACAGGTACGTGGGTAGGACACATGAAAAAAAAAACATCTTTGTTTTCTAAATAAACTGCTTAAATGAGTTCAAGGTCACTGTTTCTTTGTTGACTGTTTGTCGTTTCAGTCGTTTTTGATTTGAACAAAGCACTGATTTGGTCACAGTCTAGGACACTGCTGATGTTAGCATGTTAGCAGAAGGGTGGCAAAGTAAATGCTAATGGCAGCAAGCTGTTAGCAGTTAGCAGTGAACAAATCAACAACAGTTTCATTAGTATACAAAACAGAGCATTATTAAAGTAAACGTGGTTTCCATGGTAACAGACACCAAGTCCACACAAACTGCTGTTAGCATGTTAGCAGACACGTACTACAAACACATCTCCACGTAAGCAAACCAAAAAATATTTATGTGGTACTGTTAGCTACTGGTCTAATCTGAGTACACGTGTCCTGCTGCCTACAAACAAACACATACAAACTGAACAGAGTCCAGATGTCTCTACAGGGAACTTTCTGGAATTCTACACTTCCTTTCTTAAAACCTGGATTCAAAGAGAAGCTGGATGACATCAGCAG